GTGGTTAGAGCATTGCTCATGACAAGCAGGGTCCCAGGTTCGAGTCCTGGTGGGTCTGGCGTTTTTTTCTCTTTTCAGGCAGTTCACTTCCCCGACTGATCCTTTGAATTAGAAGTTCTCCCAATCCTTTCCAAATTTAATCACTTTCTTTCACCTCTGGTAGTTTCCAGAAACTGACCGTGGTTGGTCCCCTGGGGGAGGGAAAAAGACCCAAGTGCCATCAGTATGTGTGGCACGTGTTGTGAGCTGCCTTTGGAGTGAAAAACTTGTCAGCGCTTTCTGGGTTCAGCCTGGTCCCATAGCTCAGTGGTTAGAGCATTGCTCATGACAAGCAGGGTCCCAGGTTCGAGTCCTGGTGGGTCTGGCGTTTTTTTTCTCTTTTCAGGCAGTTCACTTCCCCGACTGATTCTTTGAATTAGAAGTTCTCCCAATCCTTTCCAAATTTAATCACTTTCTTTCACCTCTGGTAGTTTCCAGAAACTGACCGTGGTTGGTCCCCTGGGGGAGGGAAAAAGACCCAAGTGCCATCAGTATGTGTGGCACGTGTTGTGAGCTGCCTTTGGAGTGAAAAACTTGTCAGCGCCTTCTGGGTTCAGCCTGGTCCCATAGCTCAGTGGTTAGAGCATTGCTCATGACAAGCAGGGTCCCAGGTTCGAGTCCTGGTGGGTCTGGCGTTTTTTTCTCTTTTCAGGCAGTTCACTTCCCCGACTGATCCTTTGAATTAGAAGTTCTCCCAATCCTTTCCAAATTTAATCACTTTCTTTCACCTCTGGTAGTTTCCAGAACCTGACCGTGGTTGGTCCCCTGGGGGAGGGAAAAAGACCCAAGTGCCATCAGTATGTGTGGCACGTGTTGTGAGCTGCCTTTGGAGTGAAAAACTTGTCAGCGCTTTCTGGGTTCAGCCTGGTCCCATAGCTCAGTGGTTAGAGCATTGCTCATGACAAGCAGGGTCCCAGGTTCGAGTCCTGGTGGGTCTGGCGTTTTTTTTCTCTTTTCAGGCAGTTCACTTCCCCGACTGATTCTTTGAATTAGAAGTTCTCCCAATCCTTTCCAAATTTAATCACTTTCTTTCACCTCTGGTAGTTTCCAGAAACTGACCGTGGTTGGTCCCCTGGGGGAGGGAAAAAGACCCAAGTGCCATCAGTATGTGTGGCACGTGTTGTGAGCTGCCTTTGGAGTGAAAAACTTGTCAGCGCCTTCTGGGTTCAGCCTGGTCCCATAGCTCAGTGGTTAGAGCATTGCTCATGACAAGCAGGGTCCCAGGTTCGAGTCCTGGTGGGTCTGGCGTTTTTTTCTCTTTTCAGGCAGTTCACTTCCCCGACTGATCCTTTGAATTAGAAGTTCTCCCAATCCTTTCCAAATTTAATCACTTTCTTTCACCTCTGGTAGTTTCCAGAAACTGACCGTGGTTGGTCCCCTGGGGGAGGGAAAAAGACCCAAGTGCCATCAGTATGTGTGGCACGTGTTGTGAGCTGCCTTTGGAGTGAAAAACTTGTCAGCGCCTTCTGGGTTCAGCCTGGTCCCATAGCTCAGTGGTTAGAGCATTGCTCATGACAAGCAGGGTCCCAGGTTCGAGTCCTGGTGGGTCTGGCGTTTTTTTTCTCTTTTCAGGCAGTTCACTTCCCCGACTGATCCTTTGAATTAGAAGTTCTCCCAATCCTTTCCAAATAATAATAATAATAATCAACGCAATAAATAGAGTAAGCTGCGCACTCAGTACAAACACCATAAGCAAAACTTGTTAATAATAATAATAATAATAATACGAAATAGAGGTTGCGACTTCGGCGATGATTTTGTTTAGGGGTTTGCTCCCACACTGGAGCTCGCGCTATTCCGCCGACAACTTGACACTTGACTGACTCACGGCTGCCATCCAGAGAACACGAGAAGTCCATCGAACCTTCGACTCGGCAAACCCGCAAGAAAGCACCATTCCCTGCTCAATACACAGTGTTTCGGGGAATTCACCCCTCATCAGTTGAGCTTGAGTAGGCTGAGGAGTTTGTCGCGCTGGAAACGGTGTGTCTCTGTAAGTTTGTATCCCCGGCGATGTTTGTGCCTGGACAGCACTATATAAGTGGTGCTCTTCAGGCACAATCTTCCTCAGCCTACTGAAGCTCAACTGGTGAGGGGTGAATTCCCCGAAACACTGTGTATTGAGCAGGGAGTGGTGCTTTCTTGCAGGTTTGCCGAGTCGAAGGTTCGATGCACTTCTCCTGTTCTCTGGATGGCAGTCGTGAGTCAGTCAAGTGTCAAGTTGGAGTCAGAACGGCTTGTAGCACTGGCGCTCAGAAACTGCTCATCACTAGACGTTGATGGTCAGCAGCAGCAACACGGACAGAAGGATAAATCAGAGCAGGCAGCTGCTTCAGCAATTGAAGCGGCCGCTCAAGCCATTGAAGCGGCTGCTGCAGCCCTTCACGAACCGACGTCGTATAGTGCCTCATCGTCTGAGGCCGATCTGGATCTTGGAGACTTCCCATCATTCCTGGTATCGATATGCCAGGATTACTGAGTCTACGTACAGGTCCATCATGCTGAGGACTCGGATGGTGACAAGAATGCTATCCAGAGTCTGAGCAACTCTTTGCGATCTCCGGTAACGCTCTGTAGGCGCAAGGTCTCGTGGAGTGTGGGCTTTGCCTTTTTTATTTTTATTTTTTATTCATTGGGACCTGCATGAACATTTTCCCGTTTGTGTGTAACATTTATTTTACAAAAAAGAACACAAACCCGACTCAGGACCAAGATTGCTGACAAGAAAGATAACAGAATTGCAGGGAGGACGAAGTAACGACTAGAACACAGAAGTTATGTTGCCGCCTTGCCTGTATGAGCATTGTCTGGTTGAAAGTGAGTTGCCCACGTCATTTAGACCACAAGTCAAACTTAGATTAGACGCTGCATGCTACTGCTGTGTTCGATTTCCCTTGCATGCTATGCTAGCTGGGCAGCGGCATAACTGCCTGCGTGCCCCACTTGCTGGCAAATATGGCATACCTACATGTGTATCATTAGGCCCTTGGGTTAAAAGTCATTTCTTCCATCCATCAGGGATTATGAGTTTTCACGAGAAAACTTTCAAGCCTTCTCTTCAGGTGAAATACAGGCGAAGGAACAAGAACAGTGGATTAAGTACCGTAGAGACTAAGAAGGTATTAACAGCGCAAAGAAGATCATGAAGCCTCTTTTACGGGCAAAAAAAAAACAAAAAAAACAGCGAGCTAGCTACTGAAGCGTTGGTTCAGAAAGTGGTGGACATCACGCAACTGCATTGTAAATAAAAGGGGGTTTGTCAACTGACAACCGCTCTATTTAGTTGCTATTCAACTCTTTAGATGTTTAGATGAAATTAATGATGCTGAAAATTTATTGACGTTTCGGGCCAGTCACCCATCGTCAGAGGTTCTGGACCAACCACGGTCAGTTTCTGGACCCTACCAGAAGTGAAAGAAAGTGATTAATTTTTCCACTTCTGGTAGGGTCCAGCAACTGACCGTGGTTGGTCCCCTGGGGGAGGGAGAAAGACCCAAGTGCCATCAGTATGTGTGGCAAGTGTTGTGAGCTGCCTTTGGAGTGAAACACTTGTCAGCGCCTTCTAGGTCCAGCCTGGTCCCATACTAGCTCAGTAGTTAGAGCATTGCTCATGACGAGCAAGGTCCCGGGTTCGAGTCCTGGTGGGTCTGGCGATTTTTTCTCTTTTCAGGCAGTTCACTTCCCCAACTGATCCTTTTATCTGTTGTATTTGAAGTTCTCCCAATCCTTTCAAAAATTTATCACTTTTCTTTCACGTCTGGTAGTAGGTAGGGTTCAGCGGATAATGCCGGCATTATATTTGGCATCATACGACTATCCGAGCATTATGGAGCATTAGAAAGGAACAAAACGAGCATTATGTGAGGTTTGAGCGGCATAACGAGTTTCATACTGGATAATATCGGGAAAATCCCAGGTTTTTGGCAACAATCGGCTACAATCATGATCATGAGATGTTGTCTGATGATTGGTTTTTGCCATGAAACTCTGAGTAACAACGAAACAGCCCTATTTTACTCCTTTTGTGTACCTCTTGCGTACTACGCTCCGGGCATTTGAGCACTATGCATTGTACCGGCGCATGACTTTGTGATTGTGTAGACACGTAACACCTTTAGCACTATTAAACGCTACATAACTATTGCTACATAAAAACGTTATGATTGTAGCGATGTGGCCAGGTAAATGTATACAAGCCATTTGTGAAGCATGCATGCCCAATCGGTTAACCGAGGCCGAGGCAGTTCAAGTGACACAAATCCGGAGAAATTATTTACGAGGTTTCTTTTACTTTTAGAATAACGGAGAGCTGTGGAGGAGACATACGCGAAGTGAATATCAAACAGACGAAGAAGAGTTTTCTAGTTGTGCCAGAGGCTCTGGCGATAGCATCTCTAGCGATACTGAAGTACTCGTAGACACTGTTGCATTGTGCAATTTGGACCAGGATGAAGGAGCGGCTACAAACAGAAAGAGCTCGTTCCAAAAGAACTGCCTTTGCCGACTCCAGCTCAGGAGGCTCGAAAAGAACTAGAATTTCTCATGGACTCAGTACCAAATCGATTGCTCAGCAGCGCCTGCCGGTCTTACTTCCCTGATGAAGCACGTACAGTTAGTTGTGGACGGTTGTAATTCCAGGCCTACAGTCAAATGCTATCAGAAAGGAAGAGTATTGTGGCAAGCCATACGTCTACACACCATCTCAAGGAGAAGATGAGAGCACAAGCAAAGGGTGTAGAGTGGCAAAATAACTTCTGACCACGTGTTTTCAGGATTTCCGCAAATGGGAGGGCTCTCCAACTGAGATCGGCAATAATGGTTTCATCTCTCACTACATGGATTATTAGGGTAGAGATTTGATACACCGACTATTCTGCCACAACCCTGCATCAAAGTTGGAATGGAGAGCAATCAATGGAGAAGCGATCATGTCTTATAGTGCTAAGAAGTAGTGGAGCTCGTGAGAGATAAGGTGGCAACTTCAGATGCAGATCGACGATATGCATAATTTCCTGGAAGTTTGACAATGTGCAGACTTTCGTCCATTTTTGTCCCAAGCCAAGAGCATTATATCCCTTGCTGAAGCATTATAATCAGCATTATAAGGCAGTTTTTGGAGCATTATGGTTGGCAATATACGAACATTTTCGGAGCATTATCCGCTGGACCCTAACAGCAACTAGTAGGGAAAGAAAAAGAGAGAAGAAAAACAACTCAAAACAGGAGTTGCGACTTGCATAGGAAGAAAATAACGGAAAAAGCAGTGCATACAGCATTTTTAAAGAGGCTTATTTATCTCGTAAGCAAAAAGGCAAGAGCCATTGACTTTAAAAAGCGATTGCGTTTTCTTTCTTGCCTGACTGCAGCGTCGATGTTTGACTGCTCGTACAGGCGCAGAAGGCGGCTTAAAAGGCTATATTCACAGAAGAACCATTTTAAAAGAACGATAAAGAGAAACTCAGCACCAGTATCATTAGTGTCGGCTGCGGTGCGTGAATGAAAATTAATAATTTTGACAGCTCTAGTTATGAACATGGATGAAAAAAAGGTGGTAGCTGGATACATGTGACAGATTTTCTGTACTACGTGTCAAAGATTTATCTCGTCGTCGCACACTTTGGTGGCGCTCTCTTTGGTGGCACGTGGGGTTAGAATTATCAGCTGATCTAGGGAAACAGCGAACGCATGCGGGGTAAATGAGCAACACAGCAGCCCCACCACAGGTTGTGAATGTTGCTCAATGTGCTGCAGGGAGCAAAGTGTGCAAATGTACCTAGACAATCTACTACTTCCAGCGGCTAGCATTCGTGGTGGCGCTTGTCCGTTCACACGGTATGGTCAATCCACGTTGCACAATCCCATCGGTGATGGGCAGGGGAGTGGAAGACTTCACTGTTTCGTGACAGAGGTGTCACTGATACAGAAAACCCAGATATGAAGACGGGGAACACCCAGTATTGTGCGAACGGACATGTCGTGTGGAATGAGGACATCACAGCGATGGAGTGGCAAACAGCATTCAGATCCAGAGAGAAGATACCACACACATACACACACACACACACACACACACACACACATACAAGCACACACACACAAACAAGCACACACAGAAACACACACACACACACACACACACACATACAAGCACACACACACACACACACACACACACACACACACACACACACATACACAGAAACACGCAGAAACACACACAAAATTAATAAGGAATACTAAAAATCCAATAGGCTACAAATACCATGAGTAGCACCAAGCAGACAATGCAAGCAAACTGTTGATTGGAATAGAAGCCTCTCGCGGCATTTACTTGACTGCAGGTTTACAACTCAAATGCTCTGCACGATGTCATGTTTCACGTGTATGAAAACAATGCGATAGAAGAATTCGATCGATAAAGCTGGTGTTTCTAAAACATCGGTCTTAAACATGGATGCTTCCCTGTCCGTCTGTACGGTGCACTGTCGTTGAATCCATGTAAAGACCAACAACACCCAACACTAAAGCGGGAATTCGAGGAGGAGGTACATGCAGGAGTCGCAATGATCACGTTTTAACATTGTGAAAATCCAACGCAAGCGTTACTGTGGAAGTTGGTTGCTCCAACGAGTTCTAAGTTTGAAGTATTAATGTGGCGCCAAAATGATTATTTCCCCAAAATCAGGCTGCTCCAGTGCGAGATGAGCATGGATTATGATCTGTGATCTTGTTCGTTTCCACTCTCGGTATTTGACGACTCCCTGATGCCAATGCTTTCCAGTGCGGGAGATGTGGCGAGTCCGTAGCTAAATCAGATGATGATGGACCGGAGGTTGACGCAGGCAGTGTGTGAGTCAGGTAGGGCGGAAGAGAGGGAGTGCAGGACTAATGGTAAGTGTCATACATCATCATCATCATCATCATCTGTGTTGCCGAAAAATAATAATAGTAAAATAAAAAATAAAAATAAAAAACGGCATTATGCAGCTGTGTAAGCAGTAGATGCACCGTGTGACTACCAGGCATCTCTGCCAGATGCCAACTGGCAATTCTCATGCAGAGACATACCAGTCCACGAAACGATATTGTGTCATACAGCGGGGTACGTCGGTTGTGTAAGAGGAAGTCTACTGTATATCATATGTTGGTGTCTAGTTCTGATCAATGCAGTACTTATAATGACGTCACCATTTCCACAAAAATGGCAAAAGAATTAACAGCCCCTTATCTGCAGCATCCGTGCAGATCTGCATCCCAATCTGTTGGGTCCTATACACACAAGTTTTTATTAGCAAGCGAAATCTAAAGGTTAGTAGTAGGCTGTGTAAGTGTTAATACCTCGTACTCCTGTGAAGAGTTAGAAGGATCCGACTTCAGGTACTGGTCATCATTGTCCATGCTGGGTGCTTCTGTGGTGTTCAGTGGGTTGGACTGCAGGAACCACAGGGTAACACAACGGCGTGCACAGAAAAAGCCATACAATGGACACACAGGGCCACACACACCGCCACACACACACCGCCACACACACACCGCCACACACACCGCCACACACACACACACACCGCCACATACACCGCCACACACACACACACACACACACACACACACACACACACACACACACACACACACACACACACACACACACACACACACACACAACCCCCCCCCCCCACACACACACACATACGCACACATGTATACAACACACACAAACACACACACAAACGAGGGTAAAATGAATGTCTACCTGCCATTTGTGAACATAGTAACTTATTCGTAAAAGCACATTCTTTTATGTACAAGGAAGGGCTTTGTTGGTTGCGAGGGAGCCGATACAAGTGCGGCGGCAATAGGTGGTCGCACATCGATGATCGGAGTGACTCCATAGCACCAGTCGAGTTACCTGAGAGTGCCAGTGAAGACTATGAGCTACCCGGAGGCAGTGTATCTTGCCGTGGATGTCATTCTGTCCTCCGTGGCTTCAGTCTGCACATAGGTGACCGTGAGCGGTGAGCTTCAAGCGGAAGTACATGTACTGCACGCAGGACAGTCTGTCAATGTTCGTGAATGTTGTCGTGGCCATTGGCGCGCAAGGTAACAGCCACAGTGTAACAGCCACAGTGTAACAGCCACTGTGTTGCATGCGTCCTATTAAAGAGGATAATTATGATGACCTTGATAACACTGTCCCTGCTGCGCATAACACTGCCCCTGCTGCGCATAACACTGCCCCTGCTGCGCATAACACTGCCCCTGCTGCGCATAACACTGCCCCTGCTGCGCATAACACTGCCCCTGCTGTGCACCCAGGGTTTCACTGATGCGCTTGTCATTCACCTATCACATTTTGTACCAGAAAATGAACCCTCTTTTTTTCAAATCAAATTTCACTCATTTAGTTGTTCCCAAAATCGCTGAGGTTAATAATTGCTGATGCAGAGTACTATATTGCACAGAAGCCCTTGAATGCAGACAGTGAGAAGCAATGGATACCAACAGACAAGACAGTGAGAAGCAATGGATACCAACAGACAAGACAGTGAGAAGCAATGGATACCAACAGACAGTGAGAAGCAATGGATACCAACTGACAAACAATTCACGATTCACACGAGACTAGGCTGGAGGTCGAGTTTTCCGCATCCGTCGAACCCCACCCCCACCACCCCCACCCCCACATGCGCACACTTTAACCAGCTCAGGTGCTCTCTCTCTCTCTATCTGTCTCTGTATGTTTCTGTATGTCTGTCTGTCTGTCTCACTCACACACACACACACACACACACACACACACACACACTCACACACACACACACACACACACACACACACACACACACACACACACACACACACACACACACACTTGTACTTGTGCTTGCTCGCTGCCAAAACTGGTCACGTCTGTCTCCCCAGGAGAGGGGTGAGAGACTCAAAAGGAATCTTGGAAAGATGACTCCATTGGCTATTGAACTGCCCAACGGCCAACACCCCCTGAAATCCCCAAACTGTGGGTGGACTTGGAAAATGTTCCCACTTATGGGCTCACCACACCTCAGTAAGCAGGCGAGGACAAGGTGAAGAAAAAGGATCGACGGCATCAGGGTATCCATCCCGGGATCCAACTGCAGTTACCCCTGCCCCAGTTAATGTAATACTTGCTACTAGTGTGGGTGGCCAAATCAGCGTGGATCTGATATACGGTTAACTAGGACCATTGATTACGCAAGAGTTAATCTAGCCAGCAGCAGTCCATGGTTAACAGGTATGTATACTTCAAATATAAAGTATATGAATCCTAAAACCAACAAAGGTGGCAGGTACAACATTACACTTTCAAGCAGCCGAGCCCGTTGGCAACAGACCCAACACTATCAGGCATACGTTTACCCACCAACCGAAATAGCTGGCACACAACACACACACACACGCACACACACACACACACACACACACACACACACACACACACACACACACACACACACACACACACACACACACACACACACATGCACACCTTGACCTTGACCTTGACCTTTGACGCCCATCGCCGGAGGCGATGATAGCAATGCTACGGCAGAAGCCATAGCAACTTGTGCTGGGATTGTACCATTCAACAGCTTGCAAGGCTGAAGAATTGACCGTCACTATTCAGCCTGGTCTACACCATACAGCTATTTGAAGTGACTTTTTCTGGCCAGTGAATCCCTATTTTTGGTCTTTTCTTTTTTTCTTTTTTTTCTTTTTTTTTCCCACACACACATCACACCACATACTCCGGCATGCACTGGCTGTTGGTAACCACCCAGGAGAATGAAAGAAAAGTCAGGAAGAGTCTGAGAAAGAGAAGAAAGACGTGTGTGACCATAATCGTCGGGAATCGAACCCGCAACCTATCGATTGGAAATCGCTGCACATACCACTGCACCATATGGGACACATGCACACACACACACACACACACACACACACACACACACACACACACACACACACACACACACACACACACACACACATGCACACACACACACACACACACACACACACACACACACACACACACACACACACATGCACACACACACACACACACACACACACACATACTTGTACTTGTACTACTACTTGTTGCTCACTGCCAAAACTGGTCACGTGGGTCTCCCCAGGAGAGGGGAGAGAGACTCAAAAGGAATCTTGGAAAGAGGACTCAATTGGCTATTGAACCGCCCAACGGCCGACACCCCTGAAATCCCCAAAACTCTGGGTGGACTTGAAAATGATCCCACTTATGGGCTCACCACACCTCAGTAAGTGGGTGAGGACAAGGTGCAGAAAAAGGACTGACGGCATCAGGGTATCCGTCCTGGGATCCAACTGCAGTTACCCCTGCCCCCAGTGAAGGTAATACTTGCTACTAGTGTGCACACATACAGACACACACACGCATGCCCAGAAAGGCTCCGGAAATCATACTGACCGGCAAGGCTACGTATCTGCTATTGTCCATTGCTGCCGGGTCTCTCCTCTGCCCATGATTGGCTTCTGGCGGTGATACCTATGGCGCACAGATGAAGCCGCGTGTTATTAGTCAACATCTCTAGTAAGCTAAGTCTTCCAATCAAAAACTAACTCGATGGATCTTGGCAAACACGGCAGGTTGCTGATACAGTAGAACACTGACAAAGTACGATGAAAATTATCAGTAGTTTTATTCTACTCTCCATTGTCCGTCTGACGGGCCATATTTGTGAAAATCCGACATTTTGGCACTCTTTAGAAAAACCTTTTTTTGTATTGAAATTTGTCAAATATTCTCAGTTCTATAAAATGTGAAGAACAGGTTGTTGTGACTCCGGCAATACTTGAAATTGTGTGTCGCTCCCATACGTGGGAGCTTGCGCTTTTTCTGCCGACTTGACTTGACACTTGACTGACTCACAACTGCCACACAGAGCACACGAGAAGTCCATCGAACCGTCCGCTCGGCTAACCTGCAATTTGGTACCACTCGCGGCTCAATACACAGTGTTTTGGGGAATTCCCCAATCATCAGTTGAGCTTCAGTAGGCTAATGAATGTATAGGCTCGGAGAGCACTACACTATCTAGCGCTCTCCGAGCCTAAATATCACTAGGGATACCAATTTACTTACAGCGGCACTCCGTTTCCTGGGCGACAAACACTTCGCGAACTCCAGACAGCAGTGTGAGTCAGTCTCGCTCATGGAGGTAATGAACAAATGCTGAGGACCGTTGGCCATTCACAACGTTGTTGGTTCCAAAGCACCTATCGTACTCGCGCGATTAGAGCCCTCTCCTAAATAGTGCTCTATCTCGAATAGTGCCCCAGTCTCTAGAGTCAGTGAAAAAATGATGCCCTCTCTTGAATAGTCCCCCTCGCCCCCCCCCCCCCCCCTCTCGCCCCCAAACGAACTATGTTCACACACCGATCCAAGTTACCTAGTAATATTTAACCATCCAACTTTCCATTGGCAACTTGTGAGTCCCTCGAACGAATCGATCAATTTAACCTCTTCATTGACGGCCATTATGAAGGCCATCTTCAAGGGCCAGTAGCAGCGAGGTTATGTCCTGAAATTGGGGGTAGACCACCACATGTCCCCAAGCGCCAACAAGTGGTCTTGAATAAAGTTATCCACTCAAAACCACTTGGGGGAAATATTCAAATTTCGAACTCTCCAACGGCCATGCACTAGCCGAATCCAACCTCGTAGCAGGAAAGCACACACAGAGGGTCTCCACGTGCCTTTTCGTTACGCTACCAGCACTGAGATATCATGGGAATAATCCCTTCCCTCGCAGAAACTCGAATGAAGCCGCTACGAAGCGTCACTTGCTGAACAGCAGCCCAGCATGACGAGAAAGAAGAACTGCTCCACAACAACAAATCAGCAAGGACTGTAATAGTAGGTGCAAGATGGCTCAGATTGGGCCAAAACGCGTTAACGATCTCTTGTGCTGGGCAGCTAGTGCACGCGAGTTTCACATGCGTGCCACGCTCTCTCATCCAAAAAAATTCAAAATTTCTCTTATGTTGCTATGAGCCCATGTACTTCCGGTGCATGCGCGCTTACATCATGCATTTTCAGGTACCGGAGGGCCGCGGCTGTGCCCCAAAGAGAACTTTTTTTCAATTCTTGATTTTCCAACTGCAATACGTACCTAAAATCCTCAAGGGTCCAACTGCTACGTCGTGATTTTCTACTTGCGCGACGCGGCATCGATGCACACATGAAACTCGCGTGCACTGGCTGCCCTGTAAAATTTGGGCCATCTTGCGCTACTGTTGGACTCTCTGCTCATTTGTTGTTGTGGAGGAGTTATTCTTTCTCGCCATGTTGGGCTGTTGTTCAGCAAGTGACGCTTAGTGGCAGCTTCATTCGAGTTTCTGCGAGGGAAGGGATTATTCCCATGATATCTCAGTGCTGGTAGCGTAACGAAAAGGCACGTGGAGACCCTCTGGGTGTGCTTTCCTGCTACTAGGTTGGATTCGGCTAGTGCATGGCCGTTATTCTTATGATGTCTCAGTGCTGGTAGCGAAGCGAAAAGTTATATAGAGGCTTTCCTGTGTGCTTTCCTGCTGCGAGGTTGGATTCGGCTAGTGCATGGCCGTTGGAGAGTTCGAAATTTGAATGTTTCAGCAAGTGATTTTTTAGTGGATAACTTTATTCAAGACCCCTTGTTGGGGATATGTGGTAGCAGACTATGGTGGTGGTCTACCCCCAATTTCCGGACGCAACCCGCTGCTACTGGCAGTTGAAGATGACCTTTGTATCGGCCGCCATTAGACAGGCAGAGTTGATTGATTCATTCAAGGGTCGCCAGTCGAATGTTGGATGGCTAAACATTACTAGGTAACTTTGATCGGTGTCCGAACACAGTGGGTTTGGCAGAGCTGCGTTGTTGTGAGCAGCAGTGAACCCTCGTTCTTGTACCTTGTTTGGAAGGTGTTTTAGTTCGTATTATTATTGAGTTTTTGATTATGGTCAATATCTAAAGAACGGAGCGTTCCTGCACCAAACTGTCATAGTGGGTGAATGAGGTTCAGCTAATGATAAAAGGAGCCAACTTTGAGAAAAAATCGGAAATTTGGCCATGTCTGGTCATGTTTGGTTTTTACAGACATTGACTCTTAATTAAGTAGCAAACGCTGGCCGTATCGAAGCCTAGTGAGCAGATCGCGAGTTGAAACAGTGTGCTCGTTGAGTTATTTTATGCACATAAAGCAGGTGTGCCGGATGTAGCATTTGATGCATGCGGATCACTTACTTTGTCATCGCTCTCGGCAGCAGGAGCTGAACTAGTGTCGGCTGTATTGACGGACTCATAACGTGGGGTGGCTTCTGCTGTGTTCTCCACTGCCTCTTCATACAAAATGGTTGCGATGCTAGGTAGAGTTGACGCGGCAGCAGGAGCTGAACTAGTGTTGGCGGTATTGATGGACTCATAACGTGGGGTGGCTTCTGCCGTGATCTCCACTGCCTCTTCATACAAAATTGTTCCGATGTTAGGTGGAGTTGACGCTTTAAAGAGAGGAAGAAGCCAAGAAAACCAGTGAAGGAGAAGTGCACAGATAACATTCACACATGCGCACATTTGCACACACGCAAGCATGTACACACACACACACACACACACACACACACACACACACACACACACACACACACACACTCGCGTGTGCGCGCGCGCATGTGAACATATGCCCGCCAACAGACACACTCACCAACTATAGCCGTGTCGTATGCCGGGTTCTCAATCACGACTGAGCTAGTTCTTTTTATGGCAAGAGATGGCTGCCTTGGCGGCCTGTGTCGACGTCGTACGATCAAAACCAGGATGAAGATGGCAACGAGGACGAAAGCAGCGCTGGCAGAACCTAATGCCAGTGGCAGTGGTGAATACTCAGGCGTAGGGGCTGCCGTTGCAGTTGCACTGGCATTGGCTGGAACTGTGCCATTGACCAATGGAAATGAACTGGTCGAGATGGCGGTCAGTGGCACTGGCGACGTGTCTGCTTCGCTGGTGGTAGCATTGCTGCTCTCCGTTCTGTTTGTGGCAGTACTGCTACTTTCCGTCTGGGGCAAGGGGGATGTACCATTCATGTCTGAAGTGTGTGCAGCTGTTGTAACAGAAGTTGACGATGACAGTGAAGTATAGGATCCTGAAGCAGAAGCAGGTGATGACACCAAGCCACTCGTCTCTGCTCTGCTTGTGGCGGTACTGCTATTTACCGTCTGGGGCGAGGGGGACCTACCACTCATGTCTGAAGTAGGTGCAGCTGTTGTAACAGAAGTAGACGTATGGGATCCTGTTGCAAATGCAGGTGATGGCACTAAGCCACTCGAGTTCGTGGCGGGTGATGCAGTCGGCATTGTTGTCAATTTTGTCATCGTGCCTTGGAATTTAGTTGTTGTTACATACTTGGTGGTTGCTAGAGTGGGAGTTTGGCCTATTGGGCAACAGACCACTCGAATCTGATCCATCTGAATGATGCTCCACGCACTGGTCTTGTTACTAACCCAGGTTAGCTGGAGGCACAAACAGCCAGCAAGAAAATAAACACTTTTAAAAGAATCTAGTTAGGACACTGATGCACGATTTGTCTGAACGCTTCCTGAAGGTACATGTCCAACACCAATCAATAGTTTGTTTTAAATCACAGTATACATTATTACCTACAGAATAAAGGAAAACAAAACAGAAAACGAAACAAAGATACAGCAATGGGTATATAGGCGCTATATGAGCTACGCTGGTGAGATGTGGCGGACTCCCCCAAGGGTCTCGGAGATCCACGCAGCAGGCACCATGGGGGAAAGAGATAGATAGAGAGAGAGAGAGAGAGAGAGAGAGAGAGGGAGAGAGAGAGAGAGAGAGAGAGAGAGAGAGAGAGAGAGAGAGAGAGAGAGAGAGAGAGAGGGAGAGA